AAAAGACATAAAAATATTTTGTTTTATTGATTAATTTATTTCTTTTTTTTCTTAATTCATTAAGACACAAAAAACCCTTTTCTAAACAAGTCCTTTTTTCCCTCTTGCATTATACATTTCAATATGGTTGTAATAGTTAAATATGATTTAAATTCTTGAAACCCCCCATTTGTAAATATGTACCCCCATCCCTGAAATATTGTAATAGCGTACGACTTTTATATTTCCGTAATTTAACGCTTTTCCAAATATAAAATGTTAGTAACTAGGATGTGTATGGCAAGATATGAAATCAACGAATAGATCACCCTAATCAAGACTAAATGCATGCAATCAAATACACTTGCACACTAGCACCCTTAGGATAATCCCACCTTGTTGCCTATCGGAAAAATAGTCATGTCCCTCGAACATGGGCGTTTTAGCAAAAGACCCTCGATAAAAGATCGTAGTCCCTCGATGACCCTCGATGTTGCCTTTGATAAACGATCTAGTCCCTCACACGACATTGCTAAAACGCTCCATAGGTTACCTTCTATGACTATACAAAAATGTCCTGCGCCCGTCCCTTCACATCCAACGATGGGACTTCTTACCAAATCAATGGTAAGATAGCAACATCTAAAGGAAGAGGAAAAGAACATCTAAGACCTTTTGAGTAGGTAGATTTTGTCCTAGTTGCTCGCTTGCTCACAACAAAAACATTTTTATACACCAACACATCTCTTTGAACTATTTTCAAAACCAACACTTTGTATGCATTCTTATAGAGACGAGAATCATTACAAAGTCACATTTTCAAAATACTTTCAAAACTCACACCACAAGCACACTTTCAAACAAAGAAAGTGATCTAGCAAGTAACTAAGATCCCGTAGATAACTACAGATGAAAAGGGTGCTAACACCTTCCCTTTTCATAATCTACCCCCCGAACTCAAGAAAACATCTCTAAAGGTATTTCCTGTGCTTTTCACCTTTCCTTATTGGATAAAAGAAAAGTCGGTGGTGTCTCTTTCTATTCGCAAAATTTGCGATCAAACGCAAAACAAAAAGTCAGTTCTCCCACCGTATCACAGTAGTGTTAGGAAAAGTCAAGGTCAACATATGGTTTGTTGTTGCCTGTAATACTAATGTACTATGCTACTAATAGTGAATTTCATTTCTTAGGTTGGAAGCCAATCCTCTAGACGTAGGTGCATGTTGCATCGAACTGAGTTTCCAAATTGATTGTGCTATTTACTACTTTTCTGCTCCATTATATTGTATAAGTATTATTGTCATACTAGTTTAACTTGTTAGACCAGTTATTCCAACATTGTGTACGACATACGTCCCCTGAGGAACAAAAATTTCAATCAGCTTACTAACATTTCTACAAATCATTATCATCTGAACATTTTCACAAGATTTGTAGGGAATTGAGAATATTGGATTCCTCGTGTCTTAAATAGATTGGGTTTTATATTTAGTTTCCTTTTCTATTTATATTTTGTTCTTCACTAACAATCTCTTGTAGCAAATCATAGTTCCACCCACTTCATTATTATGTCTCTATCTTGTATCCGATTATATTATTGTGTGTGTGTTTGTTCTACATATGTTCATTGGTTTTCTTATTAAATTCTTCATTTCTCCCATTCATCTCTAGCATGCATATGATTCTTCATCTTTGCATTTAAAGTCTTTTTAAATGCGTGTTGTTAATTATGTGCACTTGAGCATTATGTTCATAGCATTATTAAAATCTTCCATTCATGGTAGTTTTGATCCCTTAACTATGTGTTGATATGTTGTTGCATATTTATTTGCGTGTTTGTTGCATGTAGCAGTCTATATTCATGTTCTGTATACGATCTTTGATGTTGTATATTCTTCTTAGCTATTTAGCTCATGCGTTCATCTGAATTTTTTATTGTTGTTGTTGTTGTTGGTTATTTAGTATTTAGACTCATTACCATCTATATCTTTTTTATCTTATCAAAGGGAGGGAGTTGTAATGTGAGGCTAGAATTGTTTTCAGTGTTTTTATGTTGTTATGTGTGTGCAATATTTTAGAGGGAGCACAAGCTTTTGTTTGCTTTGGTTCAGATTCGACTCATTATAAGTGAAAGCTTGTCAAGCATCAAAAAGAGGGAGACTGAAGTTGCATGTCTATAATACATTAAGGGGGAGAACCCTGATAGATTTTGTTACTTGTCTCTTAAGATTTTGTTTCATTATATTGTTTATATAGTCTATTCTTCAATTTTACATCTTTGGGTTAAGTTTTGAATCCATTAGATTTAGCATGCATAATTCAAGTGTTTGTATTTGAGTATGATCATTGTATTTTATTCAATTGGTTGAGTTAATGGAACAAGAACCATATTTAATTTTGGTTCAAGTTATGTTGGAAGTGGAATCTCAAAGTATTTTGAAAATCTTGAAAAAATTGATATTTCATGTGTGACTCAAATCACTCACAATCTATGGCTCGAATCAAATTAAAAAGAGGAAAACGAGAAGAATTTCGCATCTATGACTTGAATCGCGGTTTTCACATGATTTGAATCATACAACCCTGTGACTCGAATCACAAGTTGCACATGATTCAAATCACACGAGTTCATGTCAGTCTCTGTCCCATTTGATTCGAATCATCACTTACACATTACTTGAATCACACAATTATTCATATTTTCATGTTTGGCTCTGTCCAAATTGATTTGAATCAGAGTTTCTACATGACTCGAATCATGACCTTTCAGGACTCAAATTATAGTTATAACTTAACTCGAATCACAAGAAGTGAGTCACTTCTTTTATGTTAATCATGTTCCACTCTACTTGTTCACTTGACTTAAATAAAAATATTCTTGACTCGAATCTAACAACTATTTTTCACCTATTTTTGTGCTTAATCTTCATCATATACAAATCTCTTTTCATATCATATATTTCATATGTACAACATAATCCATTTTTGAAAACTCAAAAATCTCTTGCAAACAAAATTCTTTCATCTTCATCCCCGGTGTTTCGAATTTTAATATTGATTGAGAAGATTGTAATTGTTGAGGAAGATTTTTCTTGGAACTAACATTCTTTGAAGAATGTGTAAAGATTTTCAGGAGGCTTGCAAGATTTTGGTTGTTATGACTGCTGGTGACACATTCCAGTGAAAATAAGGAGGTTATTCTTTTCACTCTGACCTTGGTAGTGTTGTGTGGAAGCCCACAAATAAGGTAGGAATTCTTGTTAATCTTCAGACAATTCATCGCTCAAGAAATCAATAGGATCAAGGGTATTTCCATATATGAAGACTTGGATCAGATTGGTTAGGCTAGAATTTTAAGAAGCGAGTATCGAGTAAAGAATTTGCAGAGAGTTTAACATCAAGATTGTATACAAGTCACGATCCAGATATGAGATTTATTTTCTCTTCATTATTGTGGATCTATGATTGTATGAACTCGTGTAATATTTGTCAAAATATATTGGAAGAACAACTTTCAGTGGTAAACCATTGGAGAGTGAAGTAGGCTCCTGCGAGGACGATAGAGTCAAACCATTATATATCCTGGTGTACTCTCTCTCTCTCTCTCTCTCTCTCTCTCTCTCTCTCTCTCTCTCTCTCTCTCTCTCATCTCTCTCTCTCTCTCTCTCCTCTCTCTCCTCTCCTCTCTCTCTTCTCTCTCTCTCTCTCTCTCTCTCTCTCTCTCTCTCTCTCTCTCTCTTGCATTTTTAATTTTCCATAGGTTATTGTATGTTTAGGGGATCGTTTCTTAGTGTAGTTTATTGTTAATTCCTGTTGGTAGCGATTAATTACATAAGTTTAGGCTTTGTTAGAAATATAATCTATTTGTGTTTTATTGTTGATTAAAATCTGCATACTGTGCTGTTAGAATCCTATAGAAATTGAATTTTATAAACAACACGTCTCATGTACTTTGTAATTTATCAATTGAATATAGTTTGTAACTTTTTTTATTGTCTTTGAACAATTTAAAGATGATTGTGAATTATAGTATAATTGCATATGTGATTCCTTCTAAGATAAGCATAACGTTTCTATTTTCACAAATTATTTTTTGCAACGCAAATTTAAATTTCTTTTGAAAACCATGAGAAACAAATTTGAAAATAAGACAAATTAACAAATTTGAAAATAAGACAAATTTCAAAAGGGTCTATTCACCCCCCCTCTAGACCGTTTCTCTACTCCACATTATCACCTAACAATGTTGTTATTGTGGAGGTAGTTGAAAAAGTATTTTGAAGAGAAACTTGATCCAAGAAGAATTTAAGATATGAAAGGTGAGTTATGATTTCAGCGAAGTTAAATAAGGAGATATAGGAAAGGAATTTTTGCTTTAAGCAAAGGGTGTTTTGGCACTTTCACATATAATATTTTTATTAAAAATAAACAGAGAAAGGAGGTGAATGTGGCCTTCCCCGTCCCTACGTGGTTCCGCCACTGGTCACATGTAGGGGTGAAAAAACGGATCTGATCCGTTGGGCATGCCGACTTTTCCTGCACTTTAATGTAGGGTGGACCAAGAGTTTAGGTTTGCACTCTCTAATGTGTTCGCCCAATCCTGTCCCGTTTTATTGCAGGCTTTTGCACCCACAGACATTACGGATCCCGTCCCTTTCGATCCTCACTTTTACTGTGGGTCGAGTCAAGATTTTAGACTCGCATCCTCAACTATACATGCCTCGCCCTGGCCCGTTTTTTTAGAACAGACAGAGCCATTTGTCACCCCCTAATCACATTTAATTCCCTAACTTCTCTCTTTGCGACAATAAACAACTTCATGTCACATACAAAATATAAAGAACCAAAAGTATAGTAGCTTTATCATTGATGTAGTACATTTTCCACTATTCACATTCATTGTACAAACCCTATAAACCCAATTTCTCTGCCTCTAATTTTTACCTTCCTCTTCCACACTATTAATCTCCTTGTCAAGATACTGTGACATACAATGTCTACTCTCAACCTCCTTTGATGCATCATAAGAAGCATGTAGTCCAATAAGAAAATAGTAAAATCAACAAAATCCCTGTCCATATCCCAAACCTTATGTATGAATCTTTATCTATAGATCCAAGAAGGAATATATTAATAGCAATAGACAAAGAAGGTAACCATGGAACTAAAGGTACTCCCCAAACTTTAGGTTTCTTTGCTTTTGGAACCATAAAGAAAATACCTCCGGTTCCTATAAACCAAAATGGTGCTGTAATAGCCCATCCAATCCAACCATCACTCATTGCTCTATAAACAGACATGCCACATGAAGATCCAATAATCAAAACAACAAACACAATAAGCTTAACTTGGTTCTCTTTTGTAGTTACTCCACTTGAATAATAACGACGCACTAGAATCCCAATCGCCACAAGAACGAAAATAGAAAGAGTTGAAATCGATAATAGGTTTGAAAGAATACGAAGATTTGTGAAAAATGCAACAACAGAAGTAGCTATAACCATTGCAGCTGTAGCATTCAATGGTGTCCCGGTTTTCTCATGAACAAGAGCAAACAAGGAGGCATCATATGAGTACGAGCAATGTGCGTTAAGTAACGCGACGCACCTACGACATTAACCAATAACACAGTTGTCATTCCCTTCAAGGCTCCGAATGCAACAATGTACTTAGCCCATCCCCATCCAATAGAACTAAATGCAACCGAAAAAGGCGCGTTGATATCGATAGTTTTGTAGTTCTGCATAAGACAAAGTGTTGATGCAAGTAAGCAATATATAATAGTGATAATCACCATTGAGCCAACAAGACCAATAGGAATGTCTCTTCCAGGGTTCTTAGTTTCCTCAGCCATAGTTGATACTGCATCAAAGCCTATGTAAGCAAAGAAAAGAACAGCTGAAGCTTTGAAAACACCTCGCGTACCAAATGGAGCAAATGAAGCGTAGTTTTCCGGGTTGGCATTGATTAGGCCAACGATAATGATGAATGCAATGACGAATAAGTGCACGATTGTTGCGATTTTGTTAAACATAGAAGAAGCTTTGGTGCTAAAGACTGCAAGGATTGCGATCACTACTAGGGCTACTACAGCAATAGGATCAAGATGGCTATAATTAGGGTTCATGTTGAGGACTATTATACGAAAGTCGTTAGGGTTATGGTTGCATAGGGTGGCGAAATAGGAGGTCCATGACCGTGCTACCGCTGCTGATCCTATAACATATTCAAGGAGTATGTTTCCAGCGGCTATGAAGGCCACAAAGTCTCCTAACTCTACTCTCAAGTATGCAAATGAACCACCTGATAAAAAAAATCAAATAGTTAGATTAGTCTCTGCAGTGATGCGCAGTCTATATACTGAAACACTAACCTGCAACAGGAATTTCTATGGCGAACTCCGTGTAGCAGAAAAACAGACAACAATGCAGAAATACCGGAGACGATGTAGGACAAAACAACTGCTGGACCGGCCTCTTCACGAGCTTCAAGACCGGTAAGAACAAAAATTCCAGAACCTATAACAGCTCCAATTCCAAACCAAATAAGATCCAACCAATCAAGAGTCTTCTTCATTTGATGGTTACTTCGAGCTTTCATCTCAACAATCTCCATGTAATCTTTTGATCGAGTAAACATTCTCTCTTTCAACCGAAACGGTGTCCTCAAAAATGCTTTTCCATACTCACCCCAGCTCTTAAATGAATCTTCTGGAAAAAACTCGTTTCCTTTTCCTCTATTTTCTATCTCCATATCCTGTTACTTAGCCATGACAGTTACAATGAGTTAGATTTCATACAAGAAACTTGAAATAAATTGAAAAAGATAAGAAAATAATAAAAAAATGAATAAATATCCACAACACTTACGTGGAGAACTGGAAAAATAGAGGGAGATGAAGAAACTTTGTCCATATTTTTAACAAAAATAATACTCTTGTAGAATGTGCGTATTACTGTCTTTTATAGGCAAATATCTAAAATAGGAAGAAAAAATTATTTCCATATAATAAAATAAAATGAAAAAGATGATATTCGGTTCAATGAAATTGGTTTGGAAGTTGTTGGATGTAATAATGATATCTCAAGGTTACGAAAATGTTGTGCCATGTAAAATTTGATAAAATAGGTTAAAATGTAGATCATCCATTTTAGTGATGAGATGAGGGTGGAAGAAGCAATGACTGGTTGAATATCATGAGAAGACATAGGGAGAATATGAAATTTAAAAATAAGGTGTCCTTATCAAACATAAGGAAAAAGGTTTATTCTTATCAAACAAAAAAAAATAGTGAAGAGTCAAGCTCTCAAACTTGATTTAGAGTGATTGAAATCTACTTATAAAGTTAACAAAATATTAAAAAGTAAGATTATAAATATGTTTTAATCTTTGCAAAATCTCGAGCTTTTAACTTACTTCCATTTAAATCTTAATTAAAATTTTGGTTTTCAATAATTTATATTTTAATATTTTTTACTATAAAAAATGAATATTTTTGGTCTTGAAAATAATTTCTATAAAATGTAAATAAAGACAAAAAATGAATATGTTTCTTGAGTTATTAAATTTAAATTTTTTTGATTTTGTAGCATTGAAAACATATATAACAATAAAATTGAGATATGTGTGACTTTATACTTATGTTATAATATAAATTTATTAATAATTTAAATTTTTAACTTAATAATAAAATTAAAATATATCAAATTACCATAATAAAATATTATAAATTTGTATTAAACTAAATGAATTTCAACTAATCAAACTCTTTAAAATGGTTAAAAATAATAAAAAAAAGAACCAATTAAATGAATTTTAAAAAAAAAATTACAAACTTATATAGAGGCATATGAGATGACAATGGACAGAGTTTGAACGAAGTATTATAGTACTCAATCATATGTCACGGTTAAAAAAATTCGTGTACTCGAGCCTACTTACTTGAGCACCAACGTTAGCATTCATACCCGTATCTTATAGACATGTAAGTACCTATACATGTATCTATTATCCACACTCTAATTTAAAAAAAAAAAGATAAATTATAAAATATCATATCATTTTAAGTTTTTAATAATAATAATAATAATAAAGAGTTTTCAAAAAACTCATTGTTCAATCATAAAATAAACAAATACTCATATTTAATACATAATGATTTAATATTAATATTTTTTTAAAATAATAATAAATATCATTTTTATATAATAATATAAATTAAAGGATTATTACCATTTAAATCCATGTCATATAGGTGATTTCGTGTTTATCCCCAGTAAAATTTTATTTTTGTAAAACTAACATTACCACTTGAAGATTCTGTCGTTTTAAATCTTGTAAAAAATTTGTTTTTAAAATCAACCTTGCCACTTGAAGGATTCTATCATTTTAAACCCTGTAAATTTTCGGTTTTTTTTTTTGTAAAACCAACTTTGCTTAGTCATATTTCAGAGGGTTTAAAATGACATAATCTTCAAATTTATAGGGTTTAAAGTGACAAAATCTTCAAGTGGCAAGGTTGGTTCTAAAAACAAATTTTTTACAAGGTTTAAAACGACAAAATTTTCAAGTAGCAAGGTTAGTTTTCCTTTAAAAAAATTACAGGGGGTAACCCATAAATCACCTATAGGACAGGGGTTATATATATATATATATATATATATATATATATATATATATATATATATATATATATATATATATATATATATATATATATATATATATATATATATATATATATATATATATATATATATATATATATATATATATATATATATATATATATATATATATATATATATATATATATATATATATATATATATATATATATATATATATATATATATATATATATATATATATATATATATATATATATATATATATATATATATATATATATATATATATATATATATATATATATATATATATATATATATATATATATATATATATATATATATATATATATATATATATATATTATGCAAATATAAGACGGGTGGATAATAAGGTGATCATACCAACATTCATCCCCCTTAATTTAGTGAATAATTATTTGAGCACATGTTTGTATCCATTTTTGTAGATTTTTACCTTATTCGTGGTGGATACTTTTTTTAGATATCCACTAGGGATGAGTCAAATTATCATCCATGCACTCACAACAACACTAAGGGTAGGTTTGAATTAGTGATATAGGATGAAATGGAATGGAATGGAGGAGTAACTAATGAGATTCTATTGTTTGAATTTGTAAATAATGGATGGAATGAAATGATACATGATGGAATCCATTCCATCTAATTCCTCATTTTTTGTTCCATCCAATTTGGTGTGTATGTAATGGAATGAGATATTTTTAATAAGGGTTAATAGCTACTTTATTCCTTGCCATATAGACGAGTTTTGAAAAAATCTCTAAAAAAAGTTTCAAAAATCTCATACCATATGAAGATTTCTTCGTTTTACCCCCTCAAAAAGTTTACCTATCAATAATCTATTAAATTTCATGTAATTTGCCCCCTGTTTTTAAGAATTTATACATATTTTTCCCCTTGTCAAATTGGCGATTTTTGAAAAATCCCCTTGCCATGTTATTATTTTTTATGCTTAACATTCTTGAGGGGAAAAACGGGAGAATCTTCATATGGCAGGGAGATTGTTGAAACTTTTTTTTACATGGGGATTTTTTAAAACTCGCCTATATGGCAATGGACAAAATAGCTATTAACCTTTTTAATAAAATAATCAAACAATGGAGTGGGATATGTATTCTATTCCGCTCTGTTCTGTTCAATTCTGTTATGCTCCCTATGTTCCACTTCGTTCCGCTCTGTTATGTTCTATCAATTCAAACATAATCTAAGTTCATGAGTATTTATTTTAAACCATAATAGATTAAAATTTATATAAATAACTAAACAGGGGTCATAAGGAGGCCATCATAGCCAAATCTCAATCACTTCCTACTAACATGGCATTGGATTGTTGCTTCAGAAAGTTCATCTTTGAATGTGTAATTGAGAAGTTCTGATTTGAGAAATCAAATTGAAGAAATACCTTAAAAGCTCGTGGAAATTGATTACTTGTAACGTGAATTGTTGAGAACGGTTTTTATTGCAAAATGAAATTAGAAATAAATGAAAGGTTTAAGATGACCATCGTGCGAGAGCTTTCAAGATGATGGTTATGGTTTTTTTTTGTGAATAGAGGAAGAACCTACAAAAGGTTATTACTTTGACACATAAGTGTGTTTGAATGAGGTAGAACTTTGTAATAGTGTGAGTAAATCAATATGATCTTATCTTCTAATAAAATTGAATATATTGTTGCATGGAGCAGTGGTTCACAATCACTCTAGATGAAGAAAATGTTAAAGGACAAGCATGGTAAGGGTCATACAAATGATGAACATACAAAAAAAACATAGAGAATAGCCTCATCCAAATAGGTTATCCCTTGATAAAATGAGCATTATTGTCATTCCTTGCTCGCTTCCTTCCAAATCCCCACTGTCTTCACTAGTGAGGAACCTAGGATGAGCCAAGACTTCCAGAAATTTGTTCCAAAGTGAAATGTGACTCATTTGTCTGGGTTGACAGAGGTTTTTTTTCCATTATGTGACTTCAGTGTTGTGTTATCATATGCAAAGGGTAGTCATTAAGCTCTCTTTTATAGCTGATAGTATCATATCTCAAATTTGTCCTATCCTTTTTACTTTTATCTGGCTTACGCATCTTACACTTTTCATTTCATCTGCATACCCTCCATTAGGTCATTTAACACATAATGCATCATTAATCAGTAAATTTAGCATGGGATCAAGGGTATTGAAAAATTAGGGTTTCTCTGTACTTTTAAGCTCTCTTCTTCATTCAGGTGGAATCAACTGGTTTCTTCAACAATCATGGTTTGAAGCTAGGATTGTATGTTCATGGTCATTGTGGACTTCTGTTTTCATCACATATATATTTATCCTGAGAAAAGTGTCTTAGGGTTTTCATTTATGGTGCTTAATTTCCTTCGACGTTTCAAGTGTGGTTTTCATCTGAGATTTCCTTCCAATTACATGATGTCGTTGAGTGGTTTTCTCAAGTGTGCATTCAGACCTTCTTTATGGATTGTGAATCAGGATATATTTGTCTATGTCTGTGATCATTAAGAGAAGATTAGGGCTTCTATTGGTTCTTCTCGATCAAAGAAGATTCATGGTTACTCGAATCCTAAGGCATCCATCATCTTACCGTGCTTGAGTTTGTCAACATTTCAATTGAAGTTCAGTGGATTTCATATTTCAAGTCTTATCATCCTCAAAGACTCTTCAAGACATTATTGTTATGTTGGATTGAAAAACAAGAGAAGACCATAGCTGACAAAGACGATGTTGTGGACTCATGTTTTGAGCAAGGCATTGTTATTACTGGATTTTGGAAATAGAATAAGCAAGTTGGTTTGGATTCGAAGTGGATTCAAGCGATGTCACAACCAAGTTGTGTTAAATATGTCCAAAGGATCATTTTTCTCAAGATGATAAAGCATAGACAAAGTTAGTACTTCCAAATCATTTTGATTATTTTTACCAACACTTTGATGAACTCACCATGATCGTAAGATCTATTCAAGGCGTTACAAGATCCAGCCAAAGTTATGGTCAAAAGAGAAAAGAAAGAATTTAGAACATCAAAATCAATTTGAAGGGACACGTGGAATATTTGAAGATCTCATTGGACTTTCAAAGTCAAACATTTGTAAATATGCCAATTTCATTCAATCACATTCATTACAAATATCCAATACCATTTATGATATCCATAAATAAATAATATACTACAAAGATGAGAGACACGTTCAAAGATACACATTTGAAAACAATTGACCACCCTTGACTTTGACTCTCATC